ACTTTTTATTTTGAACAGCCAAAGCCACTGTCAGACTAATTTTGAGAGAAAACCTGTTGAAAGCAAAAGTGGTGGGCAGGGGAACTGCCCTTGGAGGCTGGGACACCCAGCGCGGCATTAACATGCCAAGGACAACCAGCATGGGTGTCCCGTCTCTAAGGGCAGAGTTTCTCCTGCCCAAGGGCTCTAAAATGGAATGGAAATTCATTAAGCCACAAAATGTAAGTATATTATACTTTTTTTTTTTTACAAAAGTAATGATCTCAGGTAAAAATGATTTTCTTTGAAATTGAAAAAGAAAATTTAAAGTCTGGCATATGCATACGCACGAAAATGCAGTAGTATCGAAGTAGCAAAGAAGCATTAACGCAGTAGAGGTGTGGAGCATATTTGCAGTAGAAATGCAGTATAGCCTACTGCAATTCTACTTCAAAAATTACATAGGGTTGTACAGAGGAGGAGCATTAATGCAGTAGATTAGCAGCATGATAGAAGCATGTTTCAAATATGCTAATTAGCTCCCACATCGAAGCAGATTTGAAGCATGTTTGCAGTATGATTGCAGTAGTCTACTGCGCTGGAGTATCTACTTCGTTTTTGTGCGGGATATGTTTAAGTATTTGATTTATTAGTAATTGTATATATATTTATAAAATTACATTTTATACATTAAAATGTTATCAAGTTATTTATTTATTTATTTATTTATTTATCATTCATTCAGTTTTTAAGAGGTACACTATGTCAAACAGCTGGTAAAACCTGTACAGTAATTATATGATAGCAGCTGGGAGCTGCTGGTTGTAGAGTTACTGTCAGCATCTTTTTGTAGCTAAAACATTTTAACTGATTTATATTTTAATATTTTCATCTTCTTATTTTTCAGGATCATTGCAGAACTACTATTGCCTCTGAAGCAGCCAGTTAAAAACTTCAAATGACATTCTCTTAATTTTACAATAAAATATTAATTTTGTGTTATCAAATGTGTTTTGTTTTACTTTCTTTTCTTAATTGAGGGTAGCATTGGGGAGAGGTGATCACAGTTGGCAGGAAATAAAGTCAATTAAAAAATCACAGTATGCAAAACTTAATGCATATCTCACTGACAATGCTGTTGAAAATCCTGAAAATCATGAATCACCAGGTATAATACTTTGTTTCATGAAGGGCAAAGAATAAAAAGTTGCATTTACAAGTCACAGGAATGAGGTGCTTCACAGATCNTTTCATGAAGGGCAAAGAATAAAAAGTTGCATTTACAAGTCACAGGAATGAGGTGCTTCACAGATCATGCTAAAAAATATGGACATTTCATGTATCTCAGAAATAAATTAGTGGCTTTCAAGGGTAACAAATATATCCAGTGGGAATCTTTTAATTAAAAAGTTTTTAAAAACATAATATAATGATTCTTGTTTAAAGGTGTTTGAAATGTGGGTAAGAAGCCAGCACTTGACTTTTATGTACAATAAATAAAATACGCCAACATTTGATTTCTGATTCAAATTTATCTCCAATTTCTAAATTAAATTCGTTTTTAAATGCCTTCTATTAAACTTAAGAAATGAACTATACATTGAACAAACATTTAACTATACTCAGTTACACACATAAACACTCATTCACATACCCTTCCAAATGGCTGAATTATTGATAACTACACTTTTGCTTTTATATTCAAGTATGTTCATGTGTAATTACAACAGATAAATAAGGTTATAATAAAACACAAATAATCAGTTACAAATACACAAAGGATCTCATCCATTTGACATGTATTTTCTTTATAATGTACATTGCATAACATTAAATATGACATAAAATTGTATAACATGAAAGACATAATGGAGAAAACAAAATGTATTATGTGGATCCCACCCATCCAGCAAGTTCTTTTTTTTTTTAATTTACACAGTAAAAAGTAAACTTCAGACTTTTAAATGTAGTTTATGATTTTTTTAAGTGAGATTTCTCTGATCCCAATTACTGCTGAGTTTTAAGTCACTTTGAGAATAAAAACATGTCTTAGTTCTACTGGTCAAGATTTGCATTAGATGAAGTACATCAGATTTGTCCTTGCTGTCATGCTGATAGGAAGATATGCTCCTAGGCTTCTCTTCTGTTGATGAATCTGGAAATATGTTACAATATTTTTTCAGAAGATATCCATCGTTTTAATTCATCAATATGTTTCTAAATAAAGATTCTCATTACACTGAAAAAAAAATTTAATAAAAATAAACCCAACTGCGGGAATCATTTGTAAATAAGTAAGAAAACATGCATCTTTTTCATATTGCCCAATGCAAATCCTGATATATGCCTTTAACTGTTCTGATACATAAATAAATAAATAAATAAATAAATCTTACAGGGAGTAGTTTTACCTTAGCTGTCAGCTGTGGTACCATATGGTCTGGAGTTTGTTTGTGACCCTGATCTCCATGACAACAGGTCCACATGATCATCTGCAAACACATCAAAGATGGCGTCCAGAGCCTCAGTAAACACCCACAATGTCTGGTCCTTGGTCACTACTTCCAAAAGGAATGAGCCAAAATTCTGAAGGGAAAAATATACTCAACAAGAAAACTGGCAAATATACAGACACCAAACAGCAACCAAAATTTCAACAACATTAGCAAAAGAGTTTTAAAAATTCTAAAAGCAATCAAAGTGCTCTCTTTAACATAAGGTAAAAGAAATAAATGTTTTTTACTTTCCACAAGCTCTGTTGGTTTTCTGATCATCAGTACAAACTTTCATGTCAGAAAGCTTTCAATATATTAAGTTGTTATCAGCTAGAAAAACCAGTTCATTTAACACTGGTACTATTCCCTGTGAGTAAACCGTTAACTTAACCATACATGACGTACATGTACATATCTGGGGTACCTTGTAGGAGTGTTTCCATCTCTGTCTTAATGGTGTGGTGGATCACTGATATTACAGCTGCTATCAACAAAAAGTGTTTTCCTGGCCTATTGGTACACTACCCTGAGAGACAAAATTTAACACTAGGGATAAATTATGTTTGTAACAGAAAAGCTGGCAAAAATGCAGTCATGAAAAGTAAAATAATTGCACATGCGCACACAATAAAGGGATAATATCTCTTCGCATGAGATCTATATATTTCACAATAAAAACATTTTGAACAATTTATAGAAATAAAATATATTGTTTTACCACAAAACTTGCAGTTATAGCTATTATTCTAATATTTAAGCTTGTCTTAAGACCACGTGACCTCTATTAATGGCTATACTCTCTTATAATCTATTAAAAGATTATGACAAAAAAAAAATTCTAGAAAAAAAAGGGATTCATTAACCAGTGGTAAGTATTTGAAAATTGTTGTTTTCTCCAGGAAAATTCACTTTTTGGCCAAAACGCCAGCGAAACTGTCAAAAATTATCCCTTTTTATTCCTTATAAAAAGGTCTGTTCTTGCTCATTTTTAAAAGTAACATGCCTTGGTGGAGTTAATGCAAAAAAAACTGTTAAATATCATTCCTTTTAAAAAGTCCAATCCTGCTCCTTTTTGAAAGTAACATACCTTGGTGGAGTTAATGAATAAAGTTTTAATACCTATAACTGAACTAAATTTTTTATATAAATTCCTTAACCTAAACAGGCCCAGTAGCCAGGGGATGTGGGGGTCCCTTTTTGCTGGGAAAATGTTCCCTCTGAGTAAAAATTTTTTTAAGTAAACAAAGATTGGATGGTTAAAGTTCCTTTTTTTTAGAAACAGACCCCCCCCCCCCCCCCTTTTGAAACTGCTGGCTGCTGAAAGACTCATCACATCATCTACAGAACCAGCCTGGCATGTGTGAAAAATACAAACTGACTGATAAAATAACTTCTTGTCTTTTAACTAACTAGATGTGAGCTTGATGGTGTCATGTTACATGTTTACCAATGCTTAGTGAAGTAATAACAGATAATTATATGCAGTGGGTTGTGCAGATAACATTTTTAAATTATGACATCTGAAGCATTGGAGAGAAATGACTTCAACCAATCAGATTTGTCCACTGTAACCAGCAGTTAACATTATCCAATAGAATGACTGGATTCAAGATTTTAAACAGGGGGTTCCTAATACAACTTTATGCATTGCTCAGTACAAAAACTGGGTGCATTGGTAATGTTAACGANATTTTGCTGATCATTCTGATATTGGTACAAATGCATACATCACAAACTACCAAATAAAGATACAGAACTCCATGATCTGTATCTTGTTTAACACGATTTCATTTATTTATTGTACATATTGCAGATAATAGCTGATATGGAAAATGAAATTAATAAAGAAGAACAGTGTGCTCGTAAGTTGTGTGTTTGTATAACCAGACTACATATATGTTTTATCATACAATGGGCCTAAAACTACTCTTGCAATTATTTTATTGTAACTTGTATAAAAACGATTTTATTTGTTCGTAATATGAAAATATGATATATATCTCTTTCTTTATTCACATTAATTAAAGGGATAATAATTAACTCTTTGTATGAGATCTATATTTTACAATAAAAACATTGTGAACAACTCATATAGTAATATAATATAATCTGTTTTACCACAAAAACAGCAGTTATAGCTATTATTCTGATATCTGAGCTTGTCAGCGGACCACGTGAACTCCAAAGATGGCCATACTCTGTAATATGAGATTATAACAAAAAAAAAACTTTTTAGGGGGAAAAAAACTGGGACTAACTCTGAATGTAGACATGGATTCATTAACCATTGGTTAGTATGGGAAAATTGTTGTTAACTCCAATAGAATAAATTGTTTGGCCAAGACAAACAGTTATTTTCCCAGTGATCAGTTTGAATGTCTGTAGTGTAAATATCAAAAAGATATATTGATAGGATTTCTTTCTGTTTTATTTTTTTTTTATTCTTTTTATTTTGAATAGCCATGGCCACAGTCAGAATTGTTTTAAAAAACAATTTATTGAAAGCGAAAGTGGTGGGCAGGGAAACTGCCCTTGGGGGATGGGACCCCCAGCGAGGAGCGAACCTGTCAAGGTTCACTGATATGGGGGTCCCATCCCTCAGGGCAGAGTATCTCCTGCCCAAGGGCTCAAATATGGTATGGAAATTCATTAAACCACAAAATGTAAGTATGAAACTTTTTTTTTTTTTTTACAAAAATAATGATCTGAGGTAAAAATGATAATCTTTCAAATTGAAAAGAAAATTTAAAGTCCAATACGTTTAAGTGTTTATTTATTCATACCTGCATTCATTTCTTCTGGTGTATTTGATTTATCATTTATTGTATATATATATAAACATTTTACTTTTCATTTTAGACATTAACACATCATCAAGTAATTTATTTGTTTGTTTGTTTGAGTGTTTGTTTGTTTGTTTGTTTGTTTGTTCATTCGTTCATTTATTCATTCATTCATTCATTCATTCTTTAAATTTATTCAGCCTTACCACCCTGGGTCTGGCTGGACATGGGAGCCTGAACCCTTTAGGAACAGGTGCCTCCAGGTGACCACTAAGGACAGCATGGAAGTGACCTGTACTTGGGGAGAACTGGACATGGAAATAAAAGGTGTTTGAACTCATAATTCTCGTAACCTTTTAAATCTGTCATGTACAACATTTGGAAATCTCACTATCCCATAAAAACTGTAGAAAAATGATGAAATGGTCCTTTAATATTGTCAAATACATTTAAGACTTTATTTTAGTGTATATCATAACTTGTAAATAATAAATAAATGTGTTATCTTATTCCAGAGTGGGACTACATGTACAAGCCTGTTCAAAGTCCACACAAGTGGTAAGTCCACACCATTGCTCTATTCAGTCAACTTGATGCATTTTTTTATCTTTTAGGAAGGATTCATGAAATAAAATTACAACAACACCTTGATTCTCAGGGTTTAAGTCTGGACCCTCAGGGGCTGTTGACAGTGAATTTGGAGACCTAGCTGATGTGCACTAACTCCATGAAAACTCTCACTGAATACAATCAGATTAACAGACTAACATGCTTCTTTTTGTCTCCAACATACTCCAACATACTCACATAAATGATATTCCTTAAAATTCAATTTTGTTCTTTCAGGTGATACCAAGGAAGAGAATAATGTAGCAATTGTTAAGACCCAAAGCATTGAGGAACTAGGTAAGGCTGGAATCTTAGTAAAATAATTATGAATTTTAATATACTTGCACATACAAATACTCTAACAAACACACATACACATGTACATACATACCGCAAGCGTGTTGCTTATGCAAAGTCTATTTTTTAGCATACTTATGAAGATGATTTATTTATTTTTAAGTCAGTTACATCTTTGAATGTGTTTTCATCAAAGTGTAATGGGCCTACTGAATCCTTTTTGAACATGCACAGATATGGAATGTTAAGTTTTTATTTGATATCATTTTTCCTTTAGCAAATATCAAAGACTCAAAGATTGTGTCAGATGCTGAGGGCATCAAAGAAAAAGGTAAGACAATAAGCTTAGGACAATTTAATGGAAATTCATTTAACACACTTAAAAATGTAAACACACCCAGATGGACTTTAGGGGGGAGACTCTCACAAACAAACACTGAGTTTAGATTCTCTGTTCAGTGATCTAAATCTTTGAATGTATCTATGACTTTCTTAAGTATTACATGTATGTATTGAATGCTTGTTGTGCACAGGTATGAAATGTTTCATTTGTTTTCCTGTCTTTCTTCAGTCAATATCAAAGACACAAAACCTGTGACAGTGGATGTGAAGGAGAGAGGTAAGACAGTAGGGTCAATAGAATAGGGGTCTATTTATTACACTGATGGAATGTAATTGTGCATGTACATGCACACGCACACACACTCCTTCCAACACAGTTTGTGCTTTTGGCAAGTTTAAAATGATACTTGGCAATTTTGTTTATTCCAAATACTGGTAAAAGTGTTTCATTGAAGCTTCATACATAAAATATGATGTTTCACTGACTACTTTTTGAACATTTTATATTATTGCCTCTTAGTAAGTAATATTGTCTTATGCACTTCAGCTCCAAAGAATCCCCGTCAATCTAGGTGGAGGAGGGTATTAAATCTGTTCACTTCATGCTTCAGACGCAGGCCAAGAACATAAATGGTTATTATTATTATTATTATTATTATTATTATTATTATTTATTAAATAAGTCTAAGCCAGTCAGACGTTTAGAAATGAGGAAAAGTCAACAGTATTTTCAAAAGAACAGATTTATTATACATAGGAAGTTATTTTTGTTTGTCTCTCTGTTTTGATGGTATCATAACTAAGTAAACTTTCAGTCTTTTAGAGGAAAACTATGTCAAACAGCTGGTAAAACTGTACATTAAAGCAGTAATTTTATGAAAGCCAGCAGGAGCTGGTGGTTGTAGAGTAACTGTCAACATCTATTTACACCTAACTGAATACACATTTTAACTGATTTATATTTTAATATTTTTATCTTTTATTTTTCAGGGTCGTCAGTGCAGAACTATCATTACCTCTGTAGAAGTCAGTTAAAAACTGCAAAATGTCATTTTCTTAATTTACAATAAAATATTAATATTTGTAATCAAATGAGTTTTGTTTTTCTGTCTTTTCTTAATTGAGGGTACCACTAGGGAGGGGTGATCATAGTTCATGGGAAATAAAACCATTAATTTACAAATCACAGTTATCAAAACTTTATGCATATCTCACCAACAATGCTAGTTGAAAATCATGAAAATTACGAATTACCGGGTATAAGGCTTTGTTTTACAAAGGGCAAAGAATAAAAAGCCACATTTACGGGTTTTGGGAATGAGGTGCTTCATGGAATATTGACATTTCACACATCTCAGGGAAATAAAAAGTCGCTTTAACCAGTTACAAAATGCCCAATGGGACTCTTTTTAAGTTTGAAAAAGCATAGTAAAGCGATTTTTGTTTTAAGGCATTTGGGACGTCATGCATGAAGCCAGCACTTGACTTTTTTCA